AAGAGATCCCTAGCCAGCTGCCCTCTGGAGAGCCCAAGCTTGGGAGGGGAATCAGATCAGATAAGTTCCGGGTTCCTGAGTTTCTGTGTTAGATGAACCTTTAGACACTGACCCCCAAAACCAAGCCACATGCTCCCCCATATCCTGGCAGTGATGAGCTCTTCCTAGGCCAGTGGAAGGGAGGCTGACTCCCTTTACCTTTAGCCAAGAAGGAAAGCTTGAGTTCCACAGTAGCAAATTAGATGTGAAGCATATATAACCCCAGGAGAGGTGGAACTTGGCTTGAACTCATATTAAGATGTAAATTGAATTAAGTAAAGCTGGAATGTATTTTGGAAACATTCTCGCTGACCCCTTTGCCTTTTCAGTGTGTGCTTGCAGGAGATGGGGTGAACCTTCCTCTCCAAAGCTGCGGCTTGAGGAAGCCACAAATGTGAAATGACTACAGAGAGCTCTTCTAAAGAGGACACTTTGATCGGGAGAGTGAGCTCTTGGGGTGTTTTGATGGACTGGGAAGTTTGGAAAGCCAAGTTAGGTTTCCCTAACTTACTGCCAGCACCACACAGGTGAAAATTACATTTCCTAGTAGTTAGTGCAAACACGTATCCCCCTGAGTAAGGACTGCTCCTCTGATGTTGCCTTCTGAGCCAGGAACACAGAAAGCAATAGATCTTCAGATTTCGGGGAGACCCTCATTGATGCCTGGGCCAGTGCATTCTGGGGGTGGGGGTTGTTCTGAGCCTGCAAAAACCATCAGAGACTTCTAAGCTTCCTCAGAGGCAGCATTATCTGAAGAAAATGATGCAGCTGACACACAGTGTCCCCCCCAGTGCTCATGGGTGCGTAGGAACAAAGGGAAAGCCACACACAGTGGGGGTGGGGGGGGAGGCTGGGCTCAGCAACAGAATCGATGAAGCCTTTAGAATCCATTCTCAGTCTTGGACAGCCTGGCAAATCTCTATGTCCTTGATACACCTGGGGTTAAAGGATGAAATCTTTGCCTATGTTGAATCAGTGCTGCCCAGGTCTATATGCAATTATCAGGGTTTGTCCTTGCCTCCTTTGGAAGCTATAGGTTTCCCTCTTAAACTTCCAGTCCTCACCTCTCCCCACCTTTCAACTCCAACTCCCCCACGGTATTCTCTGATTTCTCTCCCGCTCCCCAGCCACGGGCAGGAGGGGGTCAGCATGAGTCTACCATGCTGAAGGTCACTGGCTGTTTCTTCTTCCTGGGCCAGCTCTAAAAGCAGGGTGCATGTGTTTCAGGCCTCCCCAAAGTGAAAGGTGTTTGGGGTTCAGATTTTGGAACTCAATAAAGTAGTTTCACTAGAGTATATCCTCCCTCCCCAAATTAGAAAGCCGGATATTATCAAGTGCTGATGAAGGTTCATATCTGCTTGGAGGGAGTATAAACTTGGACTCACTTGAGAAGACAGTTTGGCAAGACCCCCTTAAAGTCTAAGACAGCAATTCTCAACCTGTGGGCCATGACCCCTTTGGAGGTCACACAACAGATATCCTGCATATCAGATATTTGCATTACTATTCATAACAGTAGCAAAATTGGTTATGAAGTAGCAACAAGATATTTTATGATTGTGGATCACCACAACATGAGGAACTGTATTAAAGGGTCACAGCATTAGGAAGGTTGAGAGTCACTGGTCTAAGACAACTGGTAAACCCCTCACTCCATTCTTTGTCTATGCCATGGAAAATGCAAGCAAGCATGTGCCAGGGCACACGTTCAGGGCTATTCCTACACAGGGGCGTTCCTGGGCTCTTCTAAAGGATGAATTTGGAAATAATGCACATGTCTTAAAAATCACCAAATGTATAGATAAACTGCAGTATATCCATGTACTGGACTAGTACACAGGAATAAAAATGAGGGAATAAGACACAAAAACAAGAGTTAAATGTTAAAAATGTGAAGTTGAGTGATCTGTAGGAGTCTATATAATCAAAGTTCAAAAACAGACAAAACTATTATCACACTTGGCCACTCAACCTTGAAGAATAAACCTGTAGAGCAAAGCAAGGAGGGGACTGGAGGGATGGACCAGTGGTTAGAGCACTGGCTGCTCTTGCAGAGGACAGGGTTTCAGTTCCCAGCAGTCACCTGGTGGCTTACAACCCTCTTTAACTCTAGTTCAAGGGGATCTGATGCCCTCTTGTGACTTCCATGGGCACACATGTGGTAAACGCTCAAACATATAAAAATGAAATAAATCTTAAAAAAAAGGGGGGGGGGAAGAAAGAAAAGAAGGAGGAGGATGAAGTTTCCCTGGGGGTGAGCCTGGGAGGGCATGCAGGCTGTGGTGCGCGAACATCACTGTCTTCAGCTGGATGGTGGTTTCTCGGAGATTTGCATTATCATGAGCTATCAAGCTGTATGTTCACTGTGCCTGTGCCTAAGCATGTATCTTTTCCATCATTTAAAAGAAAAGCTTAACTAAACCCGACCCACAGGCAGAGCTGCCAGGGAGGATTTCACTGAGAGTGAGGAGGCTCTGAACCGGGATCCATTTCTCTCTTCTTCCTCTTTCCTCTGCAAATGAGGTTCCCATGCCTCCATTCCCCTCTGCGCCCGAGACAGATGTGCACGTGTGTGCCCGCCTGCACTGCCAGGCAACAGGCTGACTCTGAGAGAACAGCCCCTCCAATCTGACCTCCTTCGCTCTCGTCTGACCTCCAAAGAACTCCCCTTGGGATTCAAGAATCTGCAAGGAGTGGGAACAGAATTTGATTTCAATTCCTCCCACAGAGCCAAGCTGGAGGGAAGAAGGCGTGTTTTTTCCATTTACCCAACATTCTGCCTTTTCAATTACTGCAAACCCCAGACAGACAGCCGGCACAGTCTTGATTCCACCTCAGTCTAAGATACAGTGCTGTACTTCATGGGTCAAAGACTCCTGTCAGCGCAACGACCTGTCGCCTCGGGCTGTCTGGCTTCGGGAAACCTCCGTGGAGTGGGACCTTCATGCATATGGGACCCAGCCACAGCTCTGCCTAGAAACTCCCTTGGAAGAGCTATGGTTTTCAAACTCTGGTTAGGAAAAACTGATGCCTACAGGGTAGACAACAAGGACTGGAAGGAACTTCTGAGATTGATTAGGGAGAGTCCTGGACCAGAACCAGAAGGCCTGAACCAGAACCCAGCCCTAGGCTTCTTTTCCCTTGATTTCAGGCAAGCCATGGAATTTCCTGAGGTCTCACATCCTGCTCAGCTCACAGAAACAAATCACTAAATGTATATGGAATGTTTTTTTTTTAAAAAAAAAAATTGTAAAATGCTGTGTAAATACAAGGATTATTATTATAAAAGTCCAACGCTGGCTACCAAACGTGAGTTTTGAAAAGAGATACTCTCGTCTCTATGACGATGGAGACAAAACCTCAATGCCTAAGTGCCATCCTGCTGGGCCACTGCACTGCACCAGATCCACCCCCCCCCCCCCCCCGACTTCCACCCTCAGCCAGAGTCAAGGGTGCTGCCACAGGGGTGGGGATGGGCTGGGCCCTTCTTCAGAGTCCATCCCACTGGTCTCCTCTGAGGACGGGTACCTGACCCTGACCGCTAGTAGTCTCTCACAGTGCTATCTTCCCCAAGCTGTTCTTGCTAGAAAGAATGGAAACTATGTGGCGGTCAAGGGCAAATGGAAGTATACAGGGTGGCTGTTAATCGTTTTCTTAAAGGGATATCACGCATTTGGACAGTTGTAGGGGACTCTGGGGACAGAGGCATTTTCCAGCTCTGAACTCCGGTTTGACCTTTCAGAACCAACCCATCTGGAGGGGTCCTGGTTTTGATTCTAGCCATCCACATCGGGCCTACCTCTCCAGGAAGCCCCTCTGGGGACAGTGGGCAGAGTAGAGGGGACTGATGCGGTTCATGCGGCTGCCTCACTCACTCTGTCTGCAGACTCAAGTTGTAGACCCTGGACCCTTCTTATCACACTTGGCCACTGAAGTGACTTTAGACCCACTAATGTCCCAAGAACAATGTTCATATTCTGAAAACTCTTCACAGTAGGGAAGGTCTAAATCTAAGGGTGTTAGAAGGGGAACTGGGGTTCACTTCTAAGACAGTGTTGGGAGACAAGCCTTGTTGTGTAGTTCAAGCTGGCTTTGAACGCATGATCCTCCTGCCTCTGCTTCCCAAGAGGTGGGATTAGAGTCATGGGCTACCATGACTGGCTTTTGGGGGCAGTTAAAAATCTCTCTCTCTCTCTCTCTCTCTCTCTCTCTCTCTCTCTCTCTCTCTGTATGTGTGTATGTGTGTGTGCCACAGCACTTGTGTGGAGGTCAGAGGCCCCCGTTGGAGAAGTCTGTACTGTCCTTCCACTATGTGGGTCCCAGGGATTGAACTCAGGTAAACATGCAGAAGCCCCTCTACCAACGGACTCATCTCACAGTCACACAGAAGGGAAAGTGCTGAGTGAGCTAATCACGAACGTGGTGATGCATCTTCTCTGCCCCAGCATTCCCAGCATTGCACTGTGGGAATGTTTACCCTCATCTCCCCAAGAGCCTATCCAGTTCATGAGGAATATTGAAATGTTCATGGTCATCACATCATTAAAACCAGCGCTTAGAGCAGTGGTTCTCAACCTGTGGGTTGTGACCCCTTTGGTATATTTACATTACAATTCATAACAGTAACAAAACTACAGATATGAAGTAGCAACAAAATAATTTTATAATGGGGGGGGGTCACCACAACATGAGAAATCGTATTAAGGGGCCGCAGCATTAGGAAGGTTGAGAACCACTGCTCCAGAGGAACACTTGGAAACTAAGGTAATAGATTTGGGCTGGAAGCAGTAACTCTTTGGGCACAAGAGCTAGATGCTAGATGCCAGGCAACAGCACCCGTCCAGGAGCCTCTCCCAGTAGGGCTGAGTGAGGAGAACTAAAATGCTATATCTTTTGGGGCTCGATCGCAAAAACAAACAAACAAACAAACAAAGCCATAGTAAGACTAGAATCTTCCTTACCTCCTCCAGTTTATCCACGCGCCCCACCAGTTTAGTGGTGACTGAATGTAGCTTTAGAAGATCCAGGCCATAGAAAGCACCTTCCAGCATGTCTATAATTGTGGAAAGCTAAGAAGCAAGAGTAGAGGGTTAGTTAGTTGAGGTTCAGGGCTGGGGCCAACAGAACCCCAGGAAAGAAGTTCCCTTTTAGATCTCTGTGTTGGAGACTCTACAGAGAAGCCACTAGCCAGGAACTGAGAGGGGCCCTCAGAAGCACATTTGTGTAGGGAAGGACACAGATAAGCCCCAGCTGTGATATGTATTCTGCCTGCAAAAAGACAATTAGAAGACCTTACATGAACGTAAACCTGAGGTCTGCACACTTCCATAAGCTGTTTATGTCGGTTACAGCACAGGTCAGCTGCCCTCACCTGCCTTTCTTACTAGACTCTAAGTTCCTTGGGGCCTTCTCATCTGCTCTCTCAACATACGTGTGAGACTCTTTCCTAACAGGTAACCCACCCATACTCAGCATAGTGGCTGTGAATGTCAACAACACCTTGAGGACATGCTTCCAAAACCCTTAACTCCATCCTGGAATAACGACCCTGAAAGGCACCTACTGTCTTCCCAGTACAAAAAACTAAACTGATCCTGGGTTATAAACAACACAGTAGCCCATGTTTGAAGTGGCCACCTGCCCTAGAGAATACAGCCTTCTTGTTTTTTCCAAGGCTCCGGCAGCATCCAGGGCCTACAGAGCTCAGGCAAAAGTGCACACAAAAGTGAGACATGGAGAAGAGCCTTCCTTCCAACCAAGGACTTGTGTTTGGAGAGTGCTTTTGTAATCTCTGCTCCCCATGCATCTCCTTGCTTTGCTTCCAAATGAAGAACTCCCCACTGACATGCTCGGCGTTTAGAAGCTCTCTTTCCAGCTCAGGAAATCCCACAGCTGGATAGTATGGACTTGGATGACTTTTCTGATCCCTAATAGGTTTCTGCCTGCTGTGGTTCCAGAAAAAAACCCCAGAGTCCAACCCTAGAACTGAATACTGTGGCATCGGCTTCAGAAAGTCTCTCTGGGTAGAGCTACCACCCTGAATCACATGACCAAGCCTGAGGCATTCCTTGTCCTGCTAAACACTTCTCTGCTTAAAGACCAATGGATGGCTACCAGATCAGTGAGTAGGTGTCAGACCCTCGACCTATCAGAAGCACATCAGATCTCCCCATTCATTTACGCAGGCTTCGTGGGCATGATGCCAACGGCTCACTAGGTGCCATCCATCAGTGTCCCCAGATCCCGCAAGCCCCTCCACATTATATTCAAGGAGGCTGAGCTCACAGAAGTGAAGGAGGATCATGGAGCAGTGACTGGACCACAAGGCGTTCTGACCACCCCACTGCAAGGGAAGGAGCAAGAGCAGGGCACCTGAAGCCCTCAGGCAATCACGAGGCTGCCCACACAGGACTCAATTTCCCCACACTACGCAACACGAGCCCGGGAGCAGTGTAAAGACCTGACCAGAGCAGGCCACGCTAACAGTCATGCCAGGACCAAACGGCTCACTCTTCCTTGTGCCTTTAACGCCTTTGGTGTGCATGGTAGGCTGACATTAAGTTGTAACCGTGATTTTCCTGGAGAACACTGAGGTTCTTTTGGCCAGATGAGCCTGCCAGATTCCCCCTAGGCCCGACCTCCCTGGTTCCATAGGAGGGGTGGGCATAGGGCATAATTTGCTCCCCCCACCCCCCGTCCCCGTCCCCATCTCTCTCCGACTTCAGAGCTGAAAATGTCCAGTTTGTTAGATCAGCTTCAAATCCACACTGAAGACTCCAGGGGCCAGGCCTGACCTTCTTCAAAGGCCTGGCTATGAGTCTCTAGTCTCTGAGATTCCCCAAGGGACCCTCTCACCCAAGGCCCTTCCCCATACCAGCTCCTACCTTCAAATCCCGGCTGTCAGCCTCCCGCAGCTTCTGGAGCCTGAAGTCTCCCTCACAAGGATTGACTGCCGATGGGGGCGCCACACAAGCACATTTACAGGAGGAGCCCGAGGTGATGGTCTCCACCGTGTAGAAGTCTTCCTTTCTGGAAGCGCCCGCGTTGATCCTTTGGCAGGCTTCTCGGCCCAGAGGTCTCACCACACACTTGCACTGGCAGTCGGAGCCCTCCGACACAGCCTTCACTTTGTCGTAGTCCCCCAGCAACTAGACACACACAGAGGGACCGGCCACCGAGTCGGAGGGATGCAAAACCATGCAACTCAAGGAGGCTGACATTTCGCTTTGTCAAGGTCCTGCCCTAGCCAAAGACTTTAGCCCCGAGCCATGGAATGAACAAGTCATGGCTCACAATTCGCTGACGCAGACATTTCCTTGAATGTGCTCAGAACTCCGCTAGTACGTTGGCCTTGGAAAGCTGTGTCTTTCTCAGGCGGGCTCTTAGCCTTTTATCGTTTAAAGAAAACAAGCAAAAACCAAAACCAAACAAACAAACAAAACCCAATCTACATCGTTCTTTCAACATCCCTTCCCCTTAGCTCAAATCCAGGTTTATATTAGAAATGGAGACACGTTTGACGGAGGGATTGGGAAAGCTTGTCTTGGGCAGTGAGGACTACAGACTTCTCAGCCATTTATTCATTCAGCACTTACAGAGGACCTCCTCAGGTCTGTGCAAAGCATGCTGAGGGGTAATGATGGGCCGGACAGAGAACCTGTTCCTGAACAGCCCACTGTAACTATAAATAAGCCACACACACTCGACAGTGCTGACTGAGTGCCCCTGAAGAGCGGGGATAAACTTGTGCTGGGAGCTGAGACTCCACCTGGGAGCTAGGGAAGACTGCTAGGAGGAAGTGGTATTTGACGTGAGCCTCCAAAGATGGATTAGATTGACAGAGAACTGGTAGAGACAAGAAAAAAAAAAAAAAAAAACAGATCCAGAAGTCTCTAAGGTTTATGTAGCCTCAGAGTTCCTTTGGCTACTGACCCAAAACTCCAGCCACGAACCAGAAGAACAGAAATAGCTGTGCTTGCTGCATCTAGAATGTTAAACATTTCCTTCTGGGTACATGCTCCTCCCAGCCTCCCCAGGCAGGCTTTCTGCTGTCCCTACCCTGGGAGAAAAGCCCTCCTAAGCCCCATTGACTCATGGCCAGTAGGCCCTATATCCCCAAAGCCAAGGCTCCTATCCTAACTAGGCAGAGGGGTCCCTTTCTTTGACTAATGATGGCAGCAGGCAGGCTTGGAACTTGGGATGCTGTCTGCGGGAAGAAGGCGTGTAATGTTTTCCTTGCAACGGTTGGGTTTCTTCTAAAGCTAATGTTTGCTTTAGGATTGTTGTCATACACAGCCTGGACCAAGTGGAAGGAGGAGGTGTATTTAGCTCAGGGTGACTTAAGCAGCTCGTCTCTCCACGCTGAGAGTAAATCGTTCCTGTCTCCTTTCTGAAACCGCCTAGATTCCTATGCAACCTTGCTCAGAGAACCCTGGATGGGTTCCTTCCCTTCAGGAAGCTCCGGTTTCAGGCAAGCTTTTGTTTATGGTTTTCCAGAGCCCCAGCGGGAGGGATTTTAAGTCTTTTCAATTTAAGGGTCAGTGTGAGGTTATGGGTGGGCAGAGGGCATATGTTAGCATAATTATTAAAAGAAGAAACGAGCATTTGATCAAACCCAAAGTAGGGCTGACAGCTCTCTCTCGACACAGAGAAAAGACCCAGACTGAGGGCCCAATGGAGGTACAGGCAATGCGCTCAGCATCCTTTCTCCGACATTATTCATCCTGAGGACCACGGTGACGTCCGCTGCACATCAGCGTGCCCGCTTTGGAGAGCACGAATGCCACATAAGTGAGAGAAGTGTCCCTTACAGTCCTGAGAACCAGGCTGGAGACTGCCCGAAGCCAGGCTCTCCCTTTCACTTTTAGCTTCTCCCCCTCATCTCTGGGAGGGCCATCAGGGTGTTTTGAGGACTGAGTTAGATTTATAAATGGTCACGCCACAACGCTCATCACTATCATGGGTCACTTGGCCCCCCACTGAGAATCAGCCAGAACCGTGTGGGTCTGCACTTCCCCTCCCTACTCCCAACGAACCAGGTCTTAACATAAATCTCTCTGTTCTGGGGTTCCCCTCGTATGCCTCACACATGTGGCAGCTCTGTCTTCACCCCATGCTTCTGCACGAGTGTCTCATCTGAGGCCATGAAACAGCTCCCATGGCTTATGCCATCTGCCTCCTAGCCAGCATGCCCTCCTGATTACACATTCCGATTCTGACAAGCAGTCTCACAGGCAAGAGGTACTTTTCACATCCATCACACCAACACACACACACCTTTCTTCTCAAGGAGTGTATGAAGTCCTCCTTTTCCCTCCTTTCTCCTGACTTGGAAAGCTCGAAACACTCCACAGTTGTGAGAGGAGGACCCATACCCTGACTTTTAAGAGGATACCTTAACAAAACAAAACAAAAAGCCAGTGTGGTGGAATCTCCACCCTTGAGAAGTGAAGGTCGTAGGAACCGAAGTTCAAGGCTAGCCTCAGCTACACAGTGAGCTGGAAGCCAGCCTGGTCTACAAGAAAGCCTGTCCAAAACCAAACAGACAACATACTGTGGTAAGTGAAAAGTAAATACCCTTCTCAATAAAAATAAAGAGAAAAACAGCCGCTCACAAACTCTTCATCCAGGACCAGCCTCACGCCCTCGCCATCCCCCAAGGCAAGAGGGGAGGGCAAGGGATTCTTCATCCTACCTGAGATAAAACGTTCTCCTGGTTGTCCGCCTCGTTTTGCAGAGTGTCATCCTCCGTGGGCGCCACTGTTTGCACCTCAGGGGGCTCGCTTGTCCCTGTGGGAGGAGTACTGGATCCCCAGACCCGTGTCACCACCAGAGCAAAGCAAAGAACTAATGGCAGAGGATTGGCCATGAGTGATGCAACAACAGGGACCTTAGTCCCTACAGAGACCACCTTGGGTAGGGGGTCTCAGCAAAGACAGGCTGGAAGGCGTCTTCACTGGAGTCCGGAAGAGTGGCCGCTCAGAGAGCCGTCTAAAGCTGGGTGTGGCTGAGTAGAGCAGGACTGCGCTCCCCAGAGACCCTGAGCATCTCCTCCCCGACCCCAGCAGCCTAGAACTGTGCAGAGGTCGCAAGAAAGAGGTGACTGAGGGGGCGGAGGCGGGTGCGGGCTCCTGGAGGGCGTCGCCGCGGGGTGGGCTCAGGTGGAAGGCTGGCGCCGGGAAGCTCGAAGCGCACGGGGACCGGGTGCAGGACGGACAGTGGCCACAGCGCGGGGAGGCGAGGGAGGGCTGCTGGCCCAGGGCGCCGCGGGGCTGGCGCGGAGGGAGGGCGGAGCCTCTATTGTGCCGGGGCCGAAAGATGCAGCCAGTGAAGGCGCGGAGGAGGAGGACCGGGAAGCGCAAAGACTCGGGCTCAGCGCCTGGGGACCCCGCCTCCTCCCGGATCAGCCGCTGCGCGCTAGTGGTCGCTGGCCGGCGTGGGTAGGGCGCGGCTGGCTTTGCTTCGGGCTGTAGATGCTGACCCTAGTGGGACTTCGTGTGCCTTTTCTCGAGTTTTCTTCACGCCCAAGTCCCAGCAGAGTCCCTGGACTACAACCTGGACAGAGGAGAAACGACTGCCGGACTTGACTCCATCGGGAGTGCGGGCAGCTTTGAACTTAAGGCCAATGGTAGTCCGCGTGCCTGCCACAACTTGAGAACCTAATACCTCCACCCAGAGGTTGCATCTTGAATCTCTGCCAGAGTGTGGCAGAGTTAGATAAATGCTGAAAGTAAGGATACTGGCTACAGGTCTCTGGCGCTCTGCTTGTCCTGGTGACTCCCCAAAACCAAACGACTGCCACAGGGCACACTTCTTACAATCTCCGTGGTTTAGGACGAATCGCCAGGCCTCTCTCTCTCTGACCAGATCTTCTTTAAAGGGTGTGTATTTGCAACGTCGTGATAGCATGACGTTGTGCTCTTAATTAGTGTCCCCTGTATATGCCTACTATGAAGATTAACAATGTGTCACTTTCAGGAAGAGCACTGTGTCTTCCAGGACAACTGCCTCTAAAGATGCTCAGTGGAGTCTGGCCAATTCAAGGATTCGATCCCCTTGAGCAATCCAAACATCTTGTTCCTAACGCCAAGTGACAAGGTTGGAGTGACTTAAGTAATAAATCAAGCAGACTCCAGCTTAGATATGATAGTTGACAGAAGTGTAACATTACCATTTATTATTATTATTATTATTATTATTATTATTATTTCAATGCTAGGGATCCAACTTGGGCCTCCTGGATCCTAGACAAGCTTTCTGACACTGAGCCGCACACCCTTGACCCTAATAATAACAAGTATTAGTATTTTTTTTAAAGAGAAAAAAATGTTTATGGAGAAGAAAACTAAGCCTCTAGATGCCTACTTTTGGGGGGAATGCTACATACATACCTTTCTATGAACACTATCAAATCTTGTCTGAAACTAGATGGGAGTTAATGCTATAAATGTAGTTTTCAAGTCCAGTTAAAATAAATGTTGAGGGCTAGCCAAGTTCAAGGCGACGTTCAGCTAGGAGTTTCCTGGGTAGATCAGGGAGGTACAAGAAGCAATGGGGACGCTAAGGCAGAGTACAACCATATCCTGTACAGCTGAAAGAAGACGCAGGTCACTCTAGTGAGAAGGCCAGCAAGGATTTCATGGAAGAGTAAGACTGAGGAGGATGGCCATCATAGTGAGGGTGTTTCAACAGCTAGTAGATAGATCAAAGGCAACCTGGATACATTTTTGGGCAGACGGCAGCCTTAATCTTCACATTCCCTTTTCCGGTGTCAGTCACCGGTTAGGAAAGCCTTCCCTGACCCAGGGTGGCTCCTCTGTGATGTGCTCCCACAGAACTGGTTGTTGGGGATTTATAGTCTTCATACCTCTCTTCCCACGGTAACAGGGCAGGGCCTGTAGCTGTCTTGGCTCAGTATGACATCCGCAGGGTTCCACGGGTTCCTGGAGTGCTGTCTTAGTTACTTTCCTGTTGTCATGACAAAACACCATGATCGAGTCAACTTGAAAAAGAAGGCATTTTATTGGGGCTCATGGTTCCAGAGGGTAGTAGACTTCATGACCATCTGGAGGGGAGCATGGTTACAGGCAGGCAGGCAGGCATGGTGCTGGAGCAGCAGCTAAGCTTACATCCTGGTTTGCAGGCTGCAGACACAGAGAGAAACTGGGACTGGCATAAGCTTTTGAAACCCCCAAGCCCACTCCTAGTGACACACCTCCTCCAACAAAGCCACACCTTCTTCTAATCCTTTCCAAATAGTTCCATCCACTTTGGACCAAGCATTCAAATATACGAGCCCATGGGGGAAAGGAGGCATTCTCATGCAAACTACCACAAGCACAATGGCCACTCAGTGACTGTTGGTTGAATAAATGGAAGCTACAAGTAATATAACTGAATGTGTTTATTTCCCATTACCTTCATCAACAGCATTTTGTATCCACCAGGGTGCATTTGACCGGAGTACCAGAGACTCCTACTAGCAATGACCTAATCAAACGTACATTTCCCCCCAACAATAGAAGTCTGTCAATGAGGAGCTCAGTCATGTAATCAAGGAACCAACCAAACTCTTTTCATTATCTACTCTACTATTTCTGGAGTATTGGTGTGTTGACCTGATCATAATTGATTTAAGCTTGATTTGGCTACCCATAGTCAGATACTCCATTTTCTTGTCTCCTGTACAGCTAAAGGCAGGATTCCATTCTGGTCAACAAACAGAATAAACCTGCAAGGAGTTTCTGGAAGAGATATTTGATTCCCGATGAGAGACCAACCTGAAAGTGGGGCTTTCTAATGCTACCCTCCTCCCACTTCTCTTTGAATGGTCATGATGCTTGGAGCTGTAGCCACTGTCCTTGAGACCATGAATCTCTTCTGTTTGTTTCTCATCTGGAGTATAGCTCTTTTCTAAGACTCACTTTTAAAGTATCTTTTACATGTTCAGCCTTATGGTTCCACATAGAATATGACCAAGAGGGCTCCACCAGAGGGCTTTTCTTTCACGTAATGATACAAAGTACACACCTTCTAAACTGCCTCATTCTCAGAATGGGCCCTTGTTCTCTCTCTCTCTGTCTCTCTGTCTCTGTCTCTCTCTGTCTGTGTCTGTGTCTCTCTCTCTGTCTCTCTCTCTCTGTCTCTCTGTCTGTCTGTCTGTCTCTCTCTCTCTCTCTCTCAGTGCCCCAGTCTGAAGAAAGGTTAGAGCACAGAGAAACCAGTTTTTCTTTTTCTTAACTCTGCTCTTTTTCAAGAACATTTAATTCTGTTTTATTTTGGTTTTGGTTTTTGAGACAGGGTTTCACTCTGTAGCCTATGCTGGCCTGGAACTCGCTGGCCTGAGCACTCTGGCCTCAGGCTCCCAGTGATTCTTCTGCCTCAGCCTCCGCAGAACCGGCATGACGAGACTGAGTCACCACACTCACTTTCTTGGTACTGTTTTTTCATTAAGGCACACGCAGCCGCCTCAGCTTTTTTGGCAGTCACATTTCACGTGACTCACGTTGATTTCTTTTTCTTAATGTAGTTTTCGTTTTTCATATGGAAATTTTATGTTGGTTTCCTCTGTTCTCTGCATTCCAGTGATTTTTGTTTTAACCCAAGTATGAGCTTTTACATTTTTAACCACTGAAAAATATGGTGGGTTTGGCCCATCCATTTCATCCTGTTGAATGCATGATTTTTTTTTAACCTTTGTTCTAACTTTGGGTGAGCTCCAAATTCAATAAGCACAATTTCTGTCTTCATTCAAATCATTAAAAAAAATGTTCATTCAGATGGGGTTAGTGTAGTTAGCTTTACGCCCACCATAAGAAAAGGCTCTCCTCAGTGTTCCCTCCCTGACTCCTTGCCTCCCTGCCTCTCATCTTCCCAGCCTCCCAGCCTCCCTGTGTCCCTGCCTATTATCGAATCTCTTAGGCTATGCTCATGTTCTACCACTAAGCTACCCACCCCCTTCCTTACTGGAGTTCGAGCAGCCAGTCAGAGGTGCTGATGCCCAGGCTACGTATGTCTTTAGCACATTTTCAAGCATTCCCCAGGAATCCTTGGCGATGTGCCTTTCAGAAACCTCTATCCCTCAGCATCCTTCTATCTGCTAATCTGGTACCCTGATCTGAAGGTGCAGAGTTGGGCTTGGTTTGGCTTTCAAACAGCAGAGTTACCTCCCCTGATCCCCTTACTAAGAGCTTGTTGATTCCATGTCCTTCGACCCTCGGCATGTTAGTACAAAGTAAATACAGCTTTCCATGCCTAACAGATGACTTCACCGAGACACCAAGACAGGAGTCTCTGCATGATGGCAGCTCTGCACTGAGAGCGAAGCCTATGCCGGCATCAAGGGATGTTCAATCCCCGACTCGGTGGCATCGTTTCCTCTTACAGATGTGGAAATGGATTGTAGACATGTTCAAGAGGGTCTCAGAAGCCCCGAGAGTGCCACTTCAGCTCTCAGAGGCCCGGAACCCTTCCCGTGTTTGCCTGCCAGCATATGGCTAGATGCTGGGGATTGCCTAGGCACCTCAACCATCAGCCCCCCCACTCCCCGCCCCGCCCCGCCCCCAGCCAAATTTGCTTTTGGCAAGGGCATCTGTTTTCCAGTTTACCCAGGAGCCCCTGGCTTTTCTCTGAAATGTCAGTCTGTTGCCAACCAAGCCTTCATTTGCCAGGTGGGGCGGGTGGCTAGAAATGACCTGCCACCTCAGTGTGTAATTTAGAGAAAGCACCTGCCCCACAGCAGCAGAATCAAAGAGCGTGGCCAAGTCCCATGAGCAACATCATTCTGCCATCTCCCTTCCCTGGCTGGCTGAGAGTCGGAGCCAGGCCAGGGAACTGCAATAAATGTTGCGGGGGGGGGGGGGGGGGGGGGGGGGGAGCAGGGAGGAAAGCTCGGTTGAAAATGAAGTCTTTCTTCCCTGTTCTCTCTGCTTCGCTGCTTTCTTGTCTTATTCCACCCTTGGTCTTCCGTGTTCTCTCTTCTTCAATTCATATACGATGAGCATATGTGGTGAGCCAGGCACTCTGGCTCATTGGGCACAGCACGCTAGGATCCAGCATGTACCCAGCACGGCCTCCGACTTCAGGAACTCGTGGTCTATAGATTATGATCGTAGGGGCTGGGGACACGGCTCAGGAGATAAACTACTTCCTGTACAAGCGAGAGGACCAGAGTTGGGATCCTGTCGCTCACGTAAAAAGCTGGCCTAGTGGTGTGTGCTGACAGTTCCAACCACTGGCTGGCAGAGACAAGAGGACCCTGGGGGCTTGCTGGTCAGCCAGTCTAGCCAGTTAGTGAGCA